TGTGCCATCCCTGGCAGTGTTGAAGGGCAGGTTGGATGGGGCTTGGAGCAGCCTAGGCTGGTGGGAGGTGTCCCTGCCCATGCAGGGGGGTGGAAGTAGCTGGTCTTTGAGGTCCCTTCCACCCCAAACTAGTCTGAGATTCCACGACCTCTGTGGACAGGATCCATGCGTCCGCCAGCGACCGAGGCAGGTCCCAGCAGCTCTGGGAGCTCTGCCCACCCCCCTGGGAGGCTCACCTGTGAGGTTGTTGAGCAGCCAGAGGCTCTCCTGCACGATGAAGGGGTGCTGCTGCAGGAAGGCCTGCAGGATGAGGAAGAGGGCGACGAGCAGGCGCTGGTCCCGGGCCACCCCCTCGCTGCCCGGCTCCTCCGCCAGCAGGTTCCCCAGGCACCTCAGCACCGGGCAGACCAGCTGTGTGTGTGTCGGGGGGGGAAACACAAAGATCTTGATTCTCCCAGTGCATCCCCACGGCCCTGCTGAGCACTGCTGGCTCCCTGCCCACCTCTTACCAGCTCCAGGCCCTCAGGAGGGTCTTGGGGCATCTCAGAAGCCAGGTCGAGCAGGAGCGAGGCGAGGGCGGGCAGGGCCCCCAGGGACAGCAGGGTGACACTGCCTGTGTGGCTGCAGAGGGAAGGGACAGTGTGGCTGGGTGCTCTGGGCCCCCAGGGCAAACCAACCCCAAAAAAACAGGGCCTGGAAATGGGGAGTGCTCTCTTGAGCCACCATCAGGCTCAGCTCGTGTTGGAGCAGCAGCTTGTCTCTGAGCCAAGGAGTTTGAAAGCTCTTGGCAAACGGATCCACTGGAATTATCTCTGGGGAAAGAAGAGCCCTGGTCGTTCCTTGGGTACCTACACATTCCTTTCTCTCTGCTGGGGCTGCTGAAGGAGGTGGCACTGGAGCAGCCACCCCAGAGCAGGAGCTCGTGTTGGAGCAGCAGCTTGTCTCTGAGCCAAGGAGTTTGAAAGCTCTTGGCAAACGGATCCACTGGAATTATCTCTGGGGAAAGAAGAGCCCTGGTCGTTCCTTGGGTACCTACACATTCCTTTCTCTCTGCTGGGGCTGCTGAAGGAGGTGGCACTGGAGCAGCCACGCCAAAGCAGGCAGAGACAAGGCCAGGTGACACTGGGCCAGCCCCAGAAGCTGGAGGATCCAGGGAACTTGCCTTGGGGGACAGCTCCAGGCATGGGGAGGTGACTGGGGGGGCTTCAGAGGACCCTCCAAACAGCATTTGTGCTCAGACAGGAGAGTGGGAATGCCCAAGATGGTGGGAAAATGCTTTTCCCAAGGGAATGGGGCAAGGGGAGGCAATCCTGCAGGACCTGAGCTTTTGTGCCTCTCTGGCTGCCCTCAGGGAACTCAAAATGAGGAGAAAAGAGCATTTACCTACAAACGATGTAGTGGAGACACCAGGCAAACTCCACAGCTGCTCCTGTCCCAGCCTTCAGGCCCGAGCAAACCAGTCGCAGCATGTGCTGGGGGAGAACAGAGTCCAGCACCAAGCTGGGGCAGAATGGCAGTTAGTGGAGGCACAGGACAGAGGACAAGCAGGACAGACAACTGAGAGGGGGACACTAGCCCTGGCCACCGAGCAGGGAGCTGCCCTCCCTGGTACTGGGGCCACATGCTCTAAAAACACACTTGGAAGAGACTCTGGCACCATGAAAGCCCAGCACAAGCTCTCCCTGCCCCTGGGGACCCCGAGGACACTTTGGCTGGGGTCACATTGTTGGCACTGGGGTCTGTCAAGCTGATCTTTTCCTTTGCAGGAGGAATACAGCCTGAATTTCCCTGGGAGCCTGCCCTGGCCTTTACTGAAATACCAGAGCTGTCTGGTCGGATGAGGCTGAGGGAAAAGAGTCAGGCCTTGTGCCCTGACCTGCAACAAAACCTCCACAGTTCTGGAGGGATCCTGCTCTGAACCATTCATGTCACTGGGGTGGGAAAGGTGTGATTGCCCCAGGGTCCCACCTGAGTGGGCGTTAAGAGGCTGGCACTCACGGAATGATCTCTGTGGGAGCTTCCTTGGCTTGGAGGAGCTGCGAGAGGACGTAGCCCAGACCTTCCAGCACAGCCTCGTGTGGGGACTGCAATCAAACAGAACCCAGCTGATCCCATGTGGCAGATCCCAGGGGACCCCGGGGTGCTGGGAAGAGGCACCAAGCAGTGGAGTGGCAGTCCTGCCTTTCCTGGGGCACAGCAGGGACCCCCCCCCAAAGCTGAGCTGTCCTCCCTGCCCAAACTCCCGTGGGCTGCAGCTGCAGGGGCTGAGGGGCACAAACACAGCAGCAGGGCTGCTCTGGGCAAGCAAAGCTGCCAGCAGCCCTGCCCACTCAGCTGGCCTCCTCTGCCTGCTGGACAGCAGGGAGAAGCCTGCAGCTCCCTGTGTTATGGGTGGTTTATCACATGTCAGAGATTCAGCTGGAGAAGAGCACAGGGTGCTGACCTGAGCCCCGAAGAAGGGAGTGTGGGACAGCCCATGAGAGCCTCACCTCGAGCAGGGCCAGCCCTCTGTGGAGGAGCTGCCTGTGGCCACAGCTGGAGGGAGGACTGGTGACTCAGGAGTGTCCAGAGGGCACAGGAAAAGGTATCCTTTGGGGCAGGGCAGGGGAAGAGCCTGGCCGAGCTATTTCACCCACCTGGATGCAGGATGCCAGAACTGGAATGATGCCCTGAGGCAGAAGCTGCTTCCTCGCAGCTTCACTTTCCACCACCAGGTTTCCCAGCGTGTACAAACACAGCTCCTGAGAAATGCCAGAGAACAGGTCACCTCCACTGCACTCCCCAGCAGAACCTGAACCCCTTGGGCAGCCAGAAGGCCCCTGGAACCTGGGACATGCTTCCCCAGAAGCTGTCCTCAGAAGGGTAAACACAGATGGAAACTGCTGGACTCCCAACCCTCCCCAGCTTCAATTTATCCTTTCTCTATCTGGCTCCAGTTGGGATCGGATCACTTTTACTTTGGAGGTTTTTCAGGCTGGTACTTATTGCTGTGACATTCCCCTCTAATCCCACAGCCTGGAGGCTGCCCCTGTGCTGCATCAAAACGTGACCACCACCTTGGGGCTGCTCCTCCTCTTGTCCCTTAGCTCTGGTCCCACCTGCTCCTCGAAGGAGCTCTGGCAGATGGGGAACAGGCTGGAGCCCTCAGCTTCCCTGCTTCCCCAAACAGGGCCTGGAGCTGGAGAGGAGGAACCTGCTGCAAATGGGGCATCCTGGGCTGTGGCAGGAGGATTTGGCAGGCCCGGATGAGGCTTGGGAGCATTTGAGAGCAGCCTGGAAGGAGGTACAAACACAATGGAACTGAACTCCACTTGGTGTTGGAATGGGGGCCTCCATAATTCCAGGATTTGGACAGGCTGTCCTGGGCAAGCACCAGGGACAGTCCTGCTCCCACAGAAAGGTTGGACTAGAGACTTCCAGAGGGTCCCTTCCCACCAGCACTCCTTCCATGAGCCGTGTTAGGCTAAGGTTGGCCAGAGCAGGTACAAGACCCAACCACTCCCACAGGGTTCTCAGAGCCCTGGCAAACACGAGCACGGATCTTACTGTGAACTCAACGCTGTGTCCCGAGAGGTAGGTGAGGAGGTAGGAGGTCACGGGCAGACACGCCTCGGCCACGGCAGGGTCACTGGAGTGGGACAGCTCATGGAGGGCCGGGGCTGCCTCCATCTGCACGTCAGCCAGGCTGCTGGTGAAGAGCCCCACCAGCGTCCGGATGCTGCCGTCCAGCCTGCGGGGACCCAGAGCTGCTGTCACCTCCTGCCTCCCCACCCTCGGCCACGCAGGGACCGGGACGACAGGCCACCCTGGCCGTGCTCCTGGGAAGAGCCACGCGGTGCCAAACCTGGGCTGACCTGACAAAGGTCTGCTGAGTCTCCTTGTTCTGCAGAGCCCGACGGAGGCGGCTGAGTGACCCTTTCCTGTCCTCCGAGCCCCTCTGCACCCCCCTGAGCAGCTCAAGAACCTGTCGGGAAATTAAAAGGCGGATTAATTTCAAGCAGTATCAGGGTTAAAGGTTTCACCCCATTAATCCAGGGCACATGTGTCTGGTAGTGACTCAGAGAACACTCCCAAGCCCATCTCCACCCAGGCTCCTCCACACTCCTCGAGGCTGGGGAAGACCCCGGGGACCCTGAAAAACACCACCCTCCTCACCTCATCCTCCGAGAGAGGGCCTGGCAGGACCTCAGCTCCATCCTGCCCTCCCTGCTCCGTGTCCTCCCGCAGGAGCCTCTTGCTGACCAGCTGCTGCTGCCGCCGGGCCTTCCTGAGAGCTGCCAGCAAACCCGTCACCGCCCGCCGGGGCAGCCACAGGCTTTTTCCTTGGAGCAGGGAGGGATCTGAGAGGGATCTGAAAGGGATCCAGGAGGAATCTGAAAGGGATCCAGGAGGGATCTGGGAGGGATCCGGGAGGGATGCGGGAGGGATCTGAAAGGGATCTGAGAGGGAGCCGGGAGGGATCTGAGCGGGATCTGAAAGGGATCCAGGAGGAATCTGAAAGGGACCCAGGAGGGATCTGGGAGGGATCCGGGAGGGATGCGGGAGGGATCTGAAAGGGATCTGAGAGGGATACGGGAGGGATCTGAAAGGGATCCGGGAGGTATCTG